CACACGATGGAATTTTACTCAGCCATCAAAAAGAATGAAATCTTGCCATTTGCAATGATATGGATGGAGCTAATATGTATTATGCTAAGTGAAATAACCAAATTAGAGAAAGATAATACCATACAATTTCACTCATATATGGAATTTAAGAAACAAAACAGATGAAAGTATGGGAAGGCGAGGAAAAAAAGAGAAGGAAACAAACCACAAGAGACTCTTAATGAAAGAGAACAAACTATGGGTTGACAGAGGGAGGTGGCTGGAAATGGGTTAGATGGGTGATGGGTATTAAGGAGGGCACTTGTGATGAGCATTGGGTGTTGTATGTAAGTGATGAATCACTGAATTCTACCCCTAAAACCAATATCGCACTGTATGTCAACTAAAATTTAAATTAAAAAAAAAAAAAAAGTCTTTCACTTTGTGCACCTGAGAGCTCTTATGGACCCCCCCCGCCCCGCCCCAAGGATACTTGGACCACACTTTGAGAATCACTTTGTTAGAGCAAACCTTTCTGTCTCTAGAAATAAGAATATCCTGTTTGCTTTGTATGTTCTTTGAATTTGGGTGCTCAGGCTTCAGAAATCAACTAATCACCAGCAATGTTGTTACCACAAAGCTGATGTAATGAGGAAGAAAACATCACCAAGATATCAATAACTGATTAACGTTTTTTCTTTTTTGTTTTGGCTTCATAGTTATGAACAAACAAATCCTCTGCTATAAGAAATTTATTTTGGAAAGTTTTGAGCCTTAGAAAGATTCAAAATTAAAGTTAATAGTATATATGCTTCATGATTTGATTTTTGTATCTTCAATTATGCCTAGTGATTAAATTTCATATTGACTGTGAAAAAAAATGAGTGTTATTTTAAACCACATTCTTTTGGTGTAATTTGTCACAGAACAGTATATATTTAACCAATATAATAACTTCATTTGAATTGATAGATTTGAAAGTTACAAGAGTTTAGAATTTTAAATATATTTTTTCACTCTTCAGAATGAAGTTCCATTTTAAATGACTTTAAAATGCAGAATTGTAATAAAACAAAACAAAACAAAACAAAATAAAATAAAATAAGATAAGATAAAATAAAATAAAATGCAGAATTGTAAGTTTTTCCATTTTTGGTTATCTAGTTCAAAATAGTAAAACCTGATGGAAAAATAAGTATGTTTTCTTTTTAATTTTTTTAAGATTTATTTATTTTTGAGAGAGAGAGAGTGAGAGTGGGAGGGAGGAAGGGAAGGGCACAGAGAGAGGGGGTAGAGGATCCAAAGCAGCCTCTGAGCTGATAGCAGAGAGCCCGATGTGGGGCTTGAACCCATGAACCGTAAGATCATGACCTGAGCCGAAGTCTGACACTTAACCGCCTGAGCCACCCAGGTGCCCCTTCAATAGATGTTTTAAAGTAGCCAACTTCAAGAAAAAGCAAATTAGAATGTTTTATTCACATTAATTATAGAAATGGCACTTGAAGCCCAAGCAATGCTCACTATTTTGCAATATAAGTCAACTTAAACTGAATAATAACTTTAAATTTCAATTTAATTTAGCCAGATTAACTATAACTATTCTCTCAGGTTGAGGAGAATAATGACAAAGAACATATGGACAACAACGAGGAAAATGTTGAGCCAGTATATCTTCAGTGTATATTACAGCTTCTTCTCACTTACCACAATCTTGTATTTTTATCTATCTGATTCCCCTTTATATTTATATTATCATCTCCTATGCCTATTTCTCAATTCTTCCTTTGCTTTTCTATTTCTTACTTTGGGAAGGCAAATAACATGAATAAAAGAAAAATGGAGAAAGAAATTCCCAAGGTTACGGACAGCTTTTTAGCTGCCTGTTCCCCAGTGAAAATTTCTTAGTATCTCAATATTGTTTTTTCCCCACTAGTGTCTTAAAAGAATGAGAAGGCACATATATTGGTTTCATAAATGTTTGACTCTTTTAGTAAACGAACTTAGGTGAAATGTAGGCATTACAAACACTTGCATGAAACCGTCATGTGAAATGACTTTAAATCATGAGCCACCATCTACATAGTAAAGATATATCAACTTGTTGAAAAAATGTTAGGCCCCTGAAGGCAAACTTCTTAGCCAGCAAAGTTAATTCTAAAAAGTATAACAGTTTTGAAATACAGATTGAAAACAGAAAAGGTCAGATAGCCTATTGATTATTAACAGCATTGGAAACAGGCTCCTGTAATGGTAAAAATAAATGTTCTCACTTGTACTAAATCGCAGGACAGGGATTATTTGACTAGTATTTGATGCAGGTAGGAATATGGTGGCAATTATGGTTGTTAGCAAAGAACTGGCAAAAAGCACCGTTATTAAGCATAAAATGAAATTCTTCTTAGGAGACAAAGAAGCCTGAGATTTATTAAGTCGGGAAAAGTAGCAAGTGATTATATGACAAATACATTATGCTAACTTAAACATTCTGCTTTGTTAATTTGTTACTCACATTATACACGGTAAGTCGAGTGATTAGTCTATTTCAGTAAATACTTTTATATCTGTAAGGTAAAAAATTTAAGCGTGGGCACGAGTGCTGAATTCCTGACCTAGCTCAACCTGATGTAAGGCCAATAGGTACTTTTGGCCACCAGGTGGCAGCTATTAGCTTTCCATGCAGAGTATAAAAACAGCCTAGAGATCCGAGGTTTCTGCCTTGCAAATTTAAAAATAACAATGTAATAAATGGTATTTAATTATTAAGTTGTCAAGATAGGGAAGAGTATTTTTCAAGGAGAAAAAATATTAATTTTCTTAGCACCATCAAACTGTCCTTAGAAAATTTTTAGTTTGCAATGAATAGTACTAATACAGTGATTTAATTTCCCTTCTTTTTCTTTCTTTCTTTTTTTAAAAAATTTTTAATGTTTGTTTATTTCTGAGAGAGAGAGAGAGACAGAGTACGAGTGAGGGAGGAGCAGAGAGAGGGAGACTTAGAATCCCAAGCAGGCTCCAGGCTCTGAGCTGTCAGCACAGAACCCGATGTGGGGCTTGAACCCATGAACCATGAGATCATGACCTGGGCCAAAGTCAGATGCTTAACCTACTGAGCCACCCAGGCACCCCAAATTTCCCTTCTTTCTATTGGACTAGCATGTGAGGACTGCTGGTGTAGATTCATCTTGACTGGATCCTGAAAGGACATGTTCTCCACTTGCTCAGGTATATTTTGGTAAGAACAGGAAAGAGATATATACTCATAATGTTTTAAAATCTATATGACTATTTTTATTCTCAGAGTTAAGAGATACCTTGTATTTAAAATTTTGAGCTTTTACCGCCCCCCCAAACCAAGAGCACACTGTATACACTGTATGTTAGCCAATTTGACAATAAATTGTATTAAAAAAAATAAAGACTTTGACTAGAATAGCAGACCAATTTTTGGAAAAGTGTTATACAGATTTTTACTGTTTATAAACATGGACTAGACCTAGGTCTTCCAAAATACGTTTAGGTCTTTTGTAGGATTTGTAAGGTTTTAAAATATTTAACATCATTTGTAAGATTTATTCCTTGGAATCTTACCCTTTTTTCATGCTAATATAAATGGATATGGTTGGACCTTGAGGACATTAAGCTAAGTGAGAAAATCAGACAAAGATGTATACTGTAAGACATCATTTATATGAGGAATTTTAGAAAGCTGAACTTGTAAAAAGAGAGTAAAATGGTAGTTACCGGGACTTGGGTGTGGAGGAACTGGGGATATGCTGTTTAAGGATACAAACTTGGAACTAATAGATAAATAAATGCTGGAAATATAGTGCACAGCACAGTGATTATAGTCATTAATATTGTATCATAAACTTCAAAGCTGATAAGAAGCTAGATCTTAATTGTTCTCCCTACAAAGAGATAATAATTGTATGACATGATAGAGGTATTAGATAACACTTTGATGGTAATCATATTGCAATATATAAATGTATCAAATCAATCTACTGTATACCTTAAACTTACACAATGTTATATATTAATTATATCTGAATAAAAATAAGAAAAATTAAAATAAAAAAATAAAATTTTGAGCTTTAAGTGGCTCAGTTGGTTAAGCATCTGACTTTGACTCAGGTCATGATCTCATGGTTCATGGGTTGGAGTCCCAAGTCAGGCTCTGCTCTGATAGTACAGAGCTTGCTTGGGAGTCTCTCTTGATCTCTCTCTCTCTCTCTCTCTCTTTCTGCCACTCACCCACTCACACTTTCTCTCTCTCTCAAACTAAATAAATAAACTTAAAAATATATATATAAAATGTTGAGCTTTACTTGTTTTATGATTTTCCAACATTCTCAGATGAGGTAAAAAGTGACAGTCAGTAAAACAAGTATTGAATATGTAAAGTTACCTACCTGATCGTAAAGTACAATACTATTGTTTTGCAGAAGTGTAGGCAAAACTTTTCCATTAAGACAGAAAACTATAACAGAAAAACATTTCAAATGCCCATATTTTACCATCCAGTGCTTAGTCAAACCTATCGACCCACAAGGATGTTCTGTTCACGTTCACACCTGCAGAGCTTCACTTAAAAGCTCCACCTTTATTTCAAGATTTTACTCTCTAAGGTAGACATCATTACCACTTGATCGCAACCTATTTCCTGTTCTTCTGGGAAGTCACCTTGATGTGGGTCCCTTTACCACCCTCAGACAGAACTAATTTCTCCAATCAGGTATCAAGAGTTGTGAGCACTTGAGTCACGACAAACAAACAAAAAATACTATGCCCCTCTAGCCACATAGTAATTGGTTTACAGACAGCCCAATGATGCGGAAATTCATATATTAAATATTTTAGTTTTTGTGGAGCCTGTTAAGGAGCTGTGATCTATGTAATTCATCTGCGGGAAAAAGGGGGAATATTTAGGAGTTCTTAGAAATCACAAGTGAAAGATAAAGGCAAAGAAATATTTGAATTAGAAGTTTAAAGGTAACTAATATAAAAGTGTACAAATTCAATGTGAGTAACTGGAATAACAAGAACGAAGGCACTGCAGAACTCTGTGAATGAGGCCAGTGTTTCCTCTGTTTGTTAAAATAAACACCGGGACAGAAAGAAGGCATTTAGATTAAAATGCTAATCTTGGTGCCACGTTAGTGAAATGAATCAATCAACATGATAATTATTTCCCAAAGAAGTAGTCATACCTACCTCTGCTCATCATCTGGCCTCTTGATCAAATTGAAAAGTATATGGAGAAGCTGATCTCTTTCTTTAGGCTCAGGATGTAGGCATGCTGTACACAATATGAGGGGAATCAACTCCTAAAGAAATATGAAGGCGGAAAAAGTCAAAGTAAAAATGCGTTGCAGAATATGCTCTTCTTCCCCCAGAGTATTCTTAAATGGACATTTAAAATGAAATAAATCATGGGGCGCCTGGGCGGCTCAGTTGGTTAGGCGACCGACTTCAGCTCAGGTCATGATCTCACTGTCTGTGAGTTCGAGCCCCGCGTTGGGCTCTGTGCTGACAGCTCAGAGCCTGGAGCCTGCTTTGGATTCCGTGTCTCCCTCTCTCTCTCCCCCTCCCCTGCTCATGCTCTGTGTCTGTCTCTTGATAATAAATAAGTGTTAAAAAAAAAATTAAAAAAAAATGAAATAAATCACAACATACAAAAGAGCAAATTCTAACTCTGTAACATTGGAATTCAAGAGAAAACACTGAAACATGTATTTATGTGGTGGTTGCAGAAAGGTGTGAATCACAATGTAACAAATAACGTTACTGAAGATTCAACTAACCTTATTTTCTTATCCAGTCCTTCCCAATCGTCTACTAGTTTTTGGACTATAGAACACTATAAGCTGACACAGGAATTTTGTTTTTGAAGGTGTTTTTAAACAAAAACTTGGAGAAGCTAGCTATCTTTTAAAGCTTGGAAAGGTAACAGAAAATCAAGACAACTCATACCACTTCCGCAAGTACAGTATCATCTGTTTTTATTAAGATTACATATAAGTAGTAATTCTGTACCTTCTCACTTAACCCTATGGCTCATTAAAAAGAAGACCATTTCCATAAGTGTTCGATGCTCTCAGCACTGCTACAGAGTATCAGCAGACATGGTTTATGTTCAAATGGAGATTTTTAGTAATATCGTACTTGTTGCACATTCAATGTGCAGAGGTAAATTCAATATTTTGCAGGAAAGTAATAACAAAAGTTTATTTCTCTCTTCCAAAGAAATATTTAAACCAAATTTATTTCACATTTTAATTAAAGTAAGACAAAATTCTAATATATATGAAAAAGATATTAATGTTTTTCATTTTGGAATGGATTTTCAAATCTAATGAGAATAAAAGTCCAGAAGTGATACTTTCGGGAAAAAACTTTCTAAATTAAGAAAATAATATTTTATCGTTACTTTTCAGTAAGATATTAAAGACGTAACTATGATGTAATAAGAACAGAATGATTACAACCCCACCATTTCTTTTTCCCATCTATCTTCCTACCCACCAAAAAGTGCTAGTAGATTAAAACAGGAACTGGCTGCTATGTAGTAACGCGTGATACCCTGCAGAAAAGTCTACACTGTAGGGCAAGTATCTTCCTGTTTTGAAGATGCTTCCTTAGAAATGGACGATGCCATTTTTTAGAGGAGCTGAGACTGAAACTTAAAGGAACGACTTGAAGTTCCTTTCTACTATTTCTAAAGTCTTTACATATTATCTTAAAATTATAATTACCTGGTATAAATCTTAAATTGAAAGTACGAAGATAGAGAGGAGAGCTAAGAATACATCTGAGAAGTAAAAAGGAATTTGAAACGTTTATTCAGTCATCTTTCTATTTGGGCACCTCTGTAGGTTTTGCATTAGTGAGCAAATGAAAAGGACAAGAAACAAAAAGTAATGAGGGAAAATGATTCTGTACTGGGAATGGAAGGCAAAGTATAGATATGGATCCTGTATTGTTCAGTAATGTTTTCACCAAAGACTCAATATGATGCTTGATGGATTAGTCTTGACTTTACAGAAACTGAACAATCTTTTATGAAATACTAGAGTAGGAGACCATTAATCTCAAGGACTCTCCTAATCCTTAGAGGATTCCATTTAGACTGCTAAGAGCCAATGATACTACTAAGACATGCATGAGAGTACTAAGACACTGCATCATCAGCATATCCCACTGAGAGAAGAACCTTAAAGATGAAAAAGCAGTTATTCTAGAAGGCACTAACAAAAGGAGAAATTATTTTAATGTGTGAAAATCAAGAAAAGCCCCAAATATTTTATTTGTATTTTCCCTCATGTCAGATTCTTCTTTCCCAAGTTTTCTTGCTTTCTCCTCAATGTTCTTCTTGGCTTTCCGTTATCTCTACATATATACTTTTCCATAATCTTCCTCCATTCTCTTTCTATTATACCACTCTTTAAAGATAAAGTTATGAAACACAGGTAATATATTTGCTGTAATTACAACTATATACATACATACTGTTTAAAATATAATTATTTAGCTTCTTTATCTCAAAAACAAGCATAGCGAAATAATTGTTCAACTATTCTTTGTGCCTTATATTTTCCCCCTTTTTTTTACATCATGAATCTTAGTGATCCTTAATCAGAGAGGAAGTTTATGTCCTACTATAAAGAATCTTTTAACTGAAATATGGCTATAGATGTGCCAAACTGAAAACCTAATGACAAATCACAAACCTCTCTGACTTTTAGTTTCTACAAGTAAAACATACAAAAATTAAGATTAGGGTAGAAATGGAAAATACTTCATATACATTAACTCCCTTATCTATCGCTTATGGAATTGTTAAGTTTTCCTTCTGAGATCAAAGTTGGCCTCAAAAAGTCTTAATACAGGACTTACCAAAGCACTTCTCAAGACAGAAGCTATTACCAACCAATTCACACATGGGAGGAAAACCTTTGTCATTTCTTGTACCCTCAAGACTCTCAAATTCTATGAATTTAGGGCTCTGAAGGAAAATACTTTTCCCTTTTCTGAATCACAGTAATATGTTATGTTGCTATTTGCTTTTATTTCTTGCTGACAAAATTAACAACATATAGGAAGTCACTGCCTAACATTTTTGGATGATATTCTATGCCAAGGAGAATTAGGTACATCTTGGCACAATAATGCCTAAAACAGTTATGTATAACGTAGGCCAGTCTCTTCCTCTTTTAGAAATACAGAGCTGAGAAGAGGCCCAGTAAGTGATGGTAGAAAAAAGAGGAAAGAGGAGTTTGTTTCTCATAGAATCAAGGATTTTAATTGTTAAGTTATGACTGGCTCCAAATATCTTAATTCCTCTATCATTCATTTATTTACTCACAAGTTCTATTTGTACCACTCTTGAAATAATGAATTCTGTATGTATTTGCTGTTGTATGTTCACATTTATTTACTGTGAATTCATCTTTTTCAAGCTTCTGAAGTATTGATACATCCACATCAGAATTTATTAAATCTGCTTTACCATTTGAACATTATTCATAAATTTATACATTTGAATCAATATTCTCTCTTTGGTATCATCTCTCTAGTTGAAGAAGTCTAGTGTTTTGAAAACACGAATTCTTGAATAAAACATTTAAAAATTGGTAGCTGAATCTTCCCTCAGAGGACAAGGTGACAGTGGTTCAAAAATGTCTTTAAATGATTGCATATTAAAAAATGTATTGAGAATAAGAGAGAAATGTTAGACATCATATCTAAAGCTTAAGAATTTTGCACATTAAAAGATCCTTAAGCAAATTAGACTTAAGATTGCATGTTGATGAAGAATAATAACCATGGTGAGAAAACACCTATTCCAAAAGGTAATGCATCCCTCTACACACAAAAATTTACTGTGTCCACATTTCTTTTGTGTGTGTGTGTGTGTCCACATTTCAAGGCAACAGAAATCTTAAATATTTTATTTAAAACATGTTTTAGCAACTGATAGTACTCAGTAAATGTGTATTGAAGTGAAATGTAAAACAGATGTCCTACAGATCACTAGAGAGGAAATCAGTGCAGTAATCCTTTTGCAGAAGGCATTCCAATACTTTATTATCATTTTGGAAAAGAGATTTCTAAGGCCTTTAGAACTCATTAATCTAAAAGGCTTAGTAATTTACATTTTACTCAAGTAAATAACTTTTGCAATTTTAATAACAAAGCTGGTTCTCTCCATATGAAGGATCATCCACCCCTCAAACTCTTAGGTTGCCAATACACTTTTGTACAGAATTAAATAAGAAAGGCCTATACCATTTTAATTCTCCTTTCAGTTCTTAAGTAAAACAAAATAACTTTTAATGGTAATAAATCACTTTAGAGATAGAAATGTCTTTAGAGAATTTTACATTTGATTTTATGAATATTTTTACTTAACCTTCTTAGTCTTTTAAAGATTAGTGCCTTTAGACTACAAAAATGGGGATGGGGTAAAAAAGGAGCTAAAACAATGTGAATGATTAGATGTTGGGTGGGGGAATGAAGGCAAATTTTAACATTAAAAAAAGCATGGAAATGTTGATAAGATAATGACTTCAAGATCTGAAAGAATTCTAAAACAGAAAAGGAAGCATTACATTTAGATCAGATGCCAATGAGGAAATGTTTGAGTGCTTCCTGTCAAGAAGAAAAAATTCTACAGTTCTAGAAAGGTAATATATTAATCCAGTCAATTATAGTCCGCTGTTTGCCCTTACTCTTTCATTACAATTATTTCTTAGGGGTGCCTGGATGGCTCAGTCGGTTGAGCGTGACTTTGGCTCAGGTCATGGGTCATGATCTCGTGGTCCGTGGGTTTGAGCCCTGCATCAGGCTCTGTGCTGACAGCTCAGAGCCTGGGGCCTGCTTCAAATTCTGTGTCTCCCTCTCTCTCTGCCCCTCCCCTGCTTGCGCTCTTTCTCTCAAAAATAAAAAACATTAAAAAAAATTATTTCCTATAACTCAAGCTTCATTTAAAACTTTTGGGTAGTTGTTATTTTAAAATTTTCCATCTAGTCTTTTGCCTAGAAATTTAAGCAATACCAAATTACAATTTAAATTCAAGTTATGATAAGTGTACACCTTTTGATTTAGATTTTCAGCTTTAACTTGTCGAGATGTTGACAGTAATAGAGTTAGAAAGAAAGAAAACAAGAAAGCAAGAAAGCAAGAGGGGTACTTGGCTGGCTCAGTTGGTAGAGCA